AAATCCTTAACTCAAGGTGTAGAACAATGAAGTTATCAAGCCAATTGCATTACTAACTACAACTTGAATTTTGTTTTAAGTCAATTAACGCAGAAATCAGAGTTCAAATTACACACAATATTAAGTTGATGTAATTACCAACATTATTACGTCAACACAACTTATAAATTAATGTTTGCAACTTAAAATGTTTATCTAAATCAATTAACTCACATTTTTATCTTGCAACCATGCATTTAATTAAGTGGAGGTGAAAGGTCGCCTGAATCCGTTTTTAGAGTGTGCTCTGACGCTCCTGAGACAGATGTATCCAGATGTATCAGAGACTCTTTGAGACTGTGTTTGCTTTGGGTAAAGACCTGTCATATCTTCTCTCTGATGATTTACAGTTTCACAGAAGCTGAAGCAATGAAATGGAAAGTTTAAGATATTGATAGAAAGTTATATAAAGTGGAGAAGTCTTTTGGTACAAGGCTAATGCTGCTTTTGAATTATTCAGGCAATTAAATGCCAACTAGTGGGAGACTTTGCAAATCTGCATGATGTCTAAACAATAAATACATACTTTCTCTGAATGTACATTTGTTTAAATGAGTAGTACATTCCTGCATTGGTATTTACCGGTAAATGTGACTGTCGTTTGGAATGAGTCTTAAAACATGTATTAAATTCTGCTCTGCTTTTCTTTAAATATTTGTTTTCTCGGGGCAGAATAATTACCTGTTCAAACTGGCAAGGTATGTAGGTCTGAGGAATCTTTGCTTTGGTGCATGTATCGGCCTGCACCTGACTTCTCGACTCATTACACTAATTCATCTCCTCCTCATCACACATGGATTCATATTTATCCGTGCAGCAAAGATCCTGCAGAAAGCTGACAGGTCACACACAAAAGTGAGAACAAGTTAGAATTACAAGCAAAGGCTTTAAAAAAGTATCTGCATTACATAAACTAAGTAGCAAAGTAAAGTACTCATTATGAATGATTATAACAAGTATTGTATGTGTGTGGGCTACTTATAACTGCTTATTTGTTGATGCATTCTTCAGGTACGACCTTGGCAGGAAGCCAAACATTTCTCAGCACAATATCATCATTTGGTTTTACCATATAAAGTAATATAAGAAATTGCCACTACACTTCCATTCTTCCACTTGATAACCTCTTGAATAACTACTCTAATGGCTCTCAATGGCTGCAGAACAGCTACTGAGTGATATTTGAGACTAAATGTGAAAGAAGTCTACTGTGAGCAGCCAGCTGTACACACAGTCAGTCCCTGTTCTCCTTTATATCAGTAACTTAAGGACAAAGGAGGACGTTTTTCCATACTTTAAACCCATTAAAGAGACACTAAAAAGAGATTCAATTCATCACATGTCGATGATGCATGATTAGGAGATCAACATGTTTCTCTCTTTTCTGTTGTCTCTTTGATTTACCATCCCAACTGCTGACAGAGAATTTGACTCTGTGCCACAGAAAGCCCTGGAGGTCAGCCACTGCTTTGTTTACCATTTGGTTACTGTGTTTTTATGCTCACGAATAGGAGGCTGCAACAGGGCATTGCATTATAGAATACTTCATGAATCTTATCATGTGGCAGACAGAATACGGACCTCTGATACACTTCTTCTTCTTCTAGTCTAATTCTGCCCGGGCTAAAAACTCCTTGTGGCAGGGAAACTGTTTTGTAACCTTCACGTGTTTGAACCCATCCCAGCTCCAGGGTCTGTGTGTGTGTGTGTGTGTGTGTGTGTGTGTGTGTGTGTGTGTGTGTGTGTGTGTGTGTGTGTGTGTGTGTGTGTGTGTGTGTGTGTATGCGTGTGTGTGCTGCCTATATAACTGGTCGCCAGCAGAACTTCAACAATAGATCTTCATCAACACTCAGTAGCCATGACTCTCCTGCTGACCGTGCTGGGAGCCGTGCTCTGCTCCTTCTCCGTTTCTGCTCAAGTCGTACCGCAGGCTGACTTCAACATACAGGGGGTGAGACGGACCATATGGTGGATTATAAGCAGTATTTTTAACCTTAGTCATAACATGATTTATGGTGCCTGTTTGCATTTTTGTTCAAACTCTATCTATCTGATTTTGCTGGTTAGTGTACCTTGGCGATTATCACATTTAAATGCATAAAAGAAGCATAGATAAAATGGTACAAACAGCTGTGTACCTTAATGTTGTGTATTTGTAATATCTTTGCAACATGCATGGTGACATTTAGGCAGCTCTGTTTTACCTAAGAAGCAGTACTAATACTTACTACAGTGTAAACATACTCTGTTACAGCTCCTGCTTTCTGTAAAAAGTACAAAAGGATTAGAAGAAATTAAGTATCAAACTTAAAAGTATTCATAATGAAGAATGAGAAATGTTTTAATTATATTTTGTGAAATTCAATAATATTTTTTTATGAATTAATGTGTCAAACATTTTAATGTTGCAGCAGGTAAAGTAGGAGGTTCTTTTTTATTTTACTAATGGAACTGCTGTAGCTTGTGATTTTGGGACATACAGTCTTAATTTAAAGTAATAGTCCATGTTAAATTATTTACTGACTGTATTAAGTAATGGAGTATGAAGTACAATATTAAACAGTACATTTAACCAATGCATTCAGAGGAATTCATGTGATGTTTTTTTTTTTTTAAAGCTGCTATCACCTAACCCTAACCAGTCAACACTTACTCTATTGTTTGCCTTGTGTGTGTCCACAGATGGCAGGGAAGTGGTACCTGATAGGATTTGCCACGAATGCCCAGTGGTTTGTGAACCGCAGAGCCGACATGAAGATGGGCACCACCATGTTGACCCCGACTGCTGATGGGGACCTGGACATGTCCTACGCCAGTCTCAGGTAAATACGTGAGGAGAGAGAAAGCAGCCAAGAGACCTTTCTTATTATATTTAGACTTGTTTTTGAGTAATAAATAATTAGTAAAGTTGTTGAGCACTTTTTACACATAAGGTGCAGCTCAAAGTGATTAAACAAAACGGCACACAACACAAGATAAACAGAGAACAAGAAATGCACTGCGGGCCGAATGTTAAAACCTTTTTGCAAACATGCAGCATATGACCACGATATACAAGATGTCAAGGAATACAAGGAGGTAATATAGGAAAGGTCATGTTTTAATGCTTTCTTGGCAGCTCTGATGGCTCCTGTTGGAGAATGAACAACCTGGCCAAGCAGACCAATGTGCCCGGGAAGCTCACGTACACAAGTGAGCGTGAGTGCACCAATGCACACACACACTAAACACATAGAGGCCAGCAACAATCACAACAAACCCCCCATTGTTCTGCTTTCCCATGAACTCTTCCCCTCATCAGGCTGGGGCAGTGTGAACGAGATGTCGATGGTGGATGTGAAGTATGACGAGTACGCGCTGATTCACACCATTAAGATCAAAGGGAGTGATCCCACCGTTGTCACCAAACTATATGGTAAAGTTTCCATGATGCTAGACTTTATGACGGTAATCCTAAATGCAGTCATGTACTAACTTCCTGTGGTGCTTCAGGCCGTGGAGTGGAGCTCAGCGCCGACCTGCTGGAGAGGTTCAGGCAGTTCTCCTTGGGGACTGGTGTCCTGCCAGAGAATATCGCTTTCCTTCCCACAAATGGTATGTCTCATATAAATGGAGAGGTTTCCTGAAAACAAAACCAACAACCTGTGATTAAGGCGCACAATCATGCTTTAATCTGTTTCTCTTTACCCCTCTCCAGCGGAGTGCCCAGCTGCTTAACTTCCCGCTCCGGTGTCTGTATGTCAACAAGCTTTCTGAAGACTTCATGAATATTCTACATCTATCGGTGTTTAACGCCAATACTCATTTTATTTTGTTTACACTGCTCTTTCAGATGTGGTGTTAAGAACATAATGCCACTAAACAATGTAAAGCCTGGTTTCAATAGAATATGCTTTGCTTTAATTCACCAGCAGTTGTAATCTGTATGTACTTCAGACATGTTTGAGACATTAAATGCTCTGCTTTGAATGCCTGGTGATTTTCTTCTTTTTTTTTTGTGCACAGTAAAGCTCAATTACTCCTTTAAAAAAAAATCCAGAATATGCACCAATGACAAGATAATGCAGGTTTCAACTTTTAAGAGTTTTCGGCTTTGCACATTTTGAACAGTGTATAAATGCTTGTATGCCCTGGTCAGACCTTAAAGACACAGTTACACTGACTGTAAACATAACTTGTTTGTTAACCAGAAAAAAGGTCAGATTTGAGGTGATCACAGAAACTTCGGGCCTTTAGCAGATGACTTTAAAGACAGCCGTATGAACGAAAAATAATCCTGCACAGTAAAAGGTCAAATCTCTCAAAACAGGTTATTGAGCAGTGGGCCTTCGACAACGTGTGAAAATAGAAGACAAAACATCTAAAATACTTTGCTTTTATTACTTTTTTTAACAAATACGTTGAAGTACATCCATAACAACACAGTTCAGATTTCCTTGTTATCAAGTGTTTACATCTACACGCTTTGTACAGATTTGTATACAAAACAATAATTTACGTCCCATAGAAGTCTAGTTACACTTAACTATACAACAACTTGTAAATGAAATAAATATAAAAACAGGAATAATCACAGGTGATAACAAAAGGGTAAAAAGCCATAGTACAAGTACACCACCAGCACCTGTCTTCTGAAGTTGAATTTAAAAAGATATACCTTTCCACTGGCAAGAGTACATCTGTGAGGGCGAGACAAAGATTCTGTCCATAGTTTTAATAACAGCAGCTCCAGTTACACTGTTTGATTCATGAGGCCAGACAGTGAACCTTTCTTGTTTTAGTAAAAAAAAGCTGGGATTTAATAGATGTATCGACATGATTGACTTGATCATTGAAAAATAAACCATCTGCCCGAAAAAGCTTGTCATCAGTTCTAATGGTCATCACAACAAAATGAGCCTTTTCAAACAAATGGGATCTCACTCTCTAGGTAGCATTATTGGAATCAAAATACTCAGGGGGTCGTCTTTACTGCTTTGGGCACTTGTTCTGAACAACTCACAGTACTCACTGAAATCTCATAGGTATGACTGGGTATTGGTCGCATTGTGATAGAGGTGCATATGTGAACGTTCATCACCATCGTGACACATCCATGAGTTCATGATCCTGTGAACAAAGCCAAGAATTATATAATTTCTGCACACAACCAGCTTTGTGTTTTTAGCAACACAACAAAAATGCTAACAGAATGGTGGGGTCGGAGCACCAGGAAGCACAGCAGATGCTTTGTTTTTCATTCATTCTTCCTCTCGCTCACACTTTGGACTGTCACAATAATTACATATCGACTTATAGTAAGATATATGGACATGTATACCTTCTACAGGTGCACCATAGAGAGCATCCTGACCTTCTACAGGTGCACCGTAGAGAGGACCCTGACCTTCTACAGGTGCACCATAGAGAGGGTCCTGACTGGCTGCATCACGGCCTGGTACGGCAGCTGCACCGCCCTCAATCGTAAGGCTTTACAGAGGGTGGTGAAAACTGCACAGCACATCACCAGGACGGAGCTGCCATCCATGGAGGACCTTTACTCCCAGCGCCTCCGGAAGAAAGCCCTCAGGACCCCCCATCACCCCAGCTACAAACTGTTCAGTCTGTTGCCGTCTAGCAGGCGCTACCGCAGCATCCGGACTAAAAACCATCAGACAGTTTCATCCCACAGGCAATAAGACAAACACCTGAGCTTGCACTGTTTGTTGTTTTTTTAATGTCTTGTAATTGCACTGTTGAGGAACCTGCGATCTAAGTTTGCCATACATTACATAATGACACCGTATTTTTGTATATGTTATGACAAAAATCTTGAATGTCCATTTTTGCTAAACACAACAAACGCCAACATTATATCCAGAATTAATGGCGAGTTCTTCCTTAGCATTTTAAGATTTGAGCAAAGTTCATTTTGCTATCAGAGCTCGAGTTCACTTTTGTTATTGTTTTGGTTCTGTGGTTTATCCAATTTAAGATATTTTAATATTTGTTCACAATGAAATTTCAAAGTCTAAACTTTCTATATGGGCATTACAATATATTATATTTAAGAGTGGCATAAAATAGTTTTAAAATGACAATATTGTTGATTAAAATCATTTCCGTGATTATATATTGTCCAATAAAAGTAGTTATCGTGACAGGCCTGCTCATACACACACGATTCATATCACATAACAGGGAGTGCTACGGGGAGAATGTTGCTAATCTTTGCTTTGTTGAGTAAATGATGACAAAATGATGCAAACGTTTTGCAAATCGAACAGTCTTGACAAAATTAGGACCATTGTGATTGACAACTGATTGCTGCCTGCAAATTAAAAAAAATGTATATCTACAAAGAGACATCTGCACAATCTGCCATGCACACCGTCACCAGCAAAGGGACATGCAGTTCAAAGTGCAAGTCTACAGAGGGGTTCTGTTGCTAACTCGGGACAGAGCATTGTGTTATGTACATGTGTATACATTTCTGAACAAACATTAGGCTGACGATCAAAAAAGGTCAAAACAACAGAACGGACTAAGTGCAGCACACACACACGCCACGTTGTGTGAGCGTGACCTGTGTGCTGCTGAGGGTGCAGAGTTTGGGGTGTGATGGTTGCTTCGACATTGTTCTTTGTTGTGGCACAGTTTTTGGCTCGGTCAGAGTCACTCCTGCACCACATCTTTGTGGTGGCGTATGATATGCTGGTTCTTCTCAGAGGGTCGTCGGAAACCCTTCGAACAGATCTCGCAGCGGTGCGGATAGTCTTTCGTGTGAATGGAGATCACGTGCCGCTTGAACCCCGAAGCGTCCCCGGTGCTGTAGTCGCAGTACTGGCACTGGTAGATTCTCCTTTCTTTCTGTCCTTTGCCAATGACGACAGTCACACTGCTGGCTAAGCTGGCTGCGCTGACTCGGCTGGCCTGGCTAGCGGCGCTGGACGCGCTGGCTGCAGACTTTTTAGGCGACACAACAGGAGTGTGTGTCTCTGTCCTCTTACCCGACTCACTCTTTTCAGGAGAGGACTGTTGCTCCTTCGTGTGCACGGACAAGATATGGCGACTGAGAACAAAAGGGTCTGCAATTTTGAAGTTGCAGTGGCGGCACTGATGAAGCTTCTTGGTCCGGTGCGACACCGAGTGCTTCTTCAGTTCAGACGGCCGGTGGAAGCCTTTACCACAGATGGCACATTTGTGTGGATAGTCCTTGGTGTGAACGGATATGATATGGCGTTTCAGGTCACTCGAGTTGGAACTTTTGTGATCACAGTGGGCACAATGGTGGGTCTTATTCTCCTCGTGCGTTAGTCCGTGCTGCATTAACTCCTCCTCCTCGGCAAAGGTCTGGAAACAGCGCTCACATTTGTATGGCATCTCTTTGCTATGCTTAGTTTTGATGTGTGTCTTGAGATTGGAGGAATCGGCCGACTTGTAGTCGCAGTACAGGCAGGAGTAGGGCTTCTCGCCCGTGTGCGTGCGCATGTGTTTCTTCAGCTCCGAAGGGTGTCGAAAGCCTTTTCCACATTCCACACAGATGTGGGGAAAGCTCTTACTGTGGACGGCCAACAGGTGCCGGTTGAGCAGCCCTTGCTCGGCCGTTTCATATTCACAGAACTTGCATTTATGCATCTTGTTTGGCGTTGTGGGCGACTGGCCCTTGGGCTCTCGGTGGTGGTGCTGCAATCTGTGAGAGAACAGCGCCGCCTGCTGGTGGAACTCCTTGCCGCACACTTCACACTCGAAAGGGGCCTTGCTGTTCAGAGCGTGTACCTCCATGTGGTTGTGGAGGCTGGCTTTCTTGTTGGTGGTGAAGTCACAGTCTGTACATTGGTACTTTTTCCTCGTCAGAACCTCCTGGTGGTGATTCTTGGTGTGGCGTTTAAGGAAACCCCGTGACTTGAACTTTTTACCACAGAGCATGCAGGGGTAAACTGTGAGAGGCTGACCGTACGGGCCGATGATGATGGCTGGAGGGAAACAGAGAGGACACCAATCATTTCAAAGTGATACAAAATAACATTTATTTGAAAAGCTTCAAGTATCATTTCTGCTGAGCTTTGAACAGCTCCACTTTAGGAGTTATGATTTAAACAGCATTTGTATTATGCAACGATTATAAAAACAATCCATGAACTTGGTGTTGCTCTTACCTGTCTGCACCTGGCGAGGCTCCGACCGTCTCCTGCTCTTGTTGCGTTGTCTGTTGATTTCATCCACCCCGTCAGACTCATCGATGTGCAGCAGAGCGCTGGCGGCACCGTTTCTGTTTTCACAACTCTCGCTATCATCTGCACCTGTGAGACCCACAGAATGTCTTAAACCAGGAAAATAAACAACACTGGCATCTGGAAAGCTTTTTAAGACACTCAGAGACGGGGTTGATGCAGTGGCTTCCAGTGTTGTTTTAAAAGCAATTTAATAAAAGGGGTGCTGGCCATAAGCAGCCGTACAGGCCAGAGGCATGAAGTCCTTGCTTAGAGACACACTGTCACACAAGTGGTCATGAGTTACTGGGTATTCCACCACTTCTATATACAGGGATGCAAACTCCCCCACCCCACGGAATATCGGCTTTAAAATGAGGAATAACAGAGGATGTTAGCAGTCAGAACAACTAAAGCAGTTAATAATAACAGAAACGTCACATCTAATAGATATGTATAAAAGCATTCATTTTAATTGGGTAGCAGTCAGTTTATAATTTTGGCAGCACTGTTGAGCATTTTGAAAATGTATTTTCATGCCTCTGTGCAAGGCTTAGTCTTTCTATCTTTATAGCGACTGGTGTAAAGTAACTAAGTTCATAAACTCAAGTACTATACTTGGGTACAATTTTGAGATACTTGTACTTTATTTAAGTATTTCAATGTTGTGCTACTTTGTTATTCTTCTCCACTACAGTTCAGAGGTAAATAGTGTACTTTTCCTCCACTACATGTATTTAATCTAGGGCTGTCAGTCGATTAAAATAGTTAATCGCGATTAATCGCATCGTCAACGACCTTTTTTACATGACTAAGACGAGACGAGCTAAAAATAGATTCTTGATAACGAAAACTTTGATGAAATGTATATTTAGTTTTCGTTGACGAGACGAGACGGGACTAAGGTGTTAATGGTGGACTATCGGACAATCAAAATGCAGGGTATTTTCCCCCAATTGTCCGTCTTGTCTATCAAAATGCATCTTACGTTTCTAACTTGCAATATCATTATTTCCGCTCTCTTCACTCTAGAAGAGCGGTCTCTCTGTGTGCGGGGGGCGGGGCCTAACAGACACGCTGCAGCGGCACACAGAGATCTGCCGGGGACGGAGCGTTCAGAAGGGACACATGCTGGAGTCCTTCAAGTTTGAAAGACTTTGTATACTGCAGGGTAGCTTGTGAATTTACTCAAGGTGGAACTAAAGTCTGATTTAACACTTGATTAGATTTCACATCATTCATCCACATCTGTAAAGTAACTAAAGCTATTAAATACATGTTGTGGAGTAGAAGAACACAATAGCAACACATTTAAATACTCCAGTAAAGTACAAGTACCTCAACATTTTACTCAAGTACAGTAAAATATTTTAACATAATTATATATATTTCATTTATTTCACATTTAAATAAAGCAATTAATTCGGTTAACAATTTGTTAGTTTTTCCCTTTAAAAAATAACAAAAACTAAATACAAGAATATCGTTAAAGTACCGGATCGATAAGCAGCATCGATAAGATTACTAGTACCGTAGAAAACCTTAACGATACCCATCCCTAGATATTACACAAGTAAAGTGTTAAGCGAGTGAAATGTTGCTTTACGAATTTCAACACTTGATACTGTCACATTGATTCCAATTTCAGATACCTGTATTTGCCTAACTGAATTGGTTTAAAGAGAGAAAACATTTTGACTAAAACGTAATTTTTCCTCGACTAAAAGTAGACTAAAACTATGAAGGATAGAAATGACTAAAATGTGACTAAAACTAATAACCATTTTCGTCTAAAGACTAAGACTAAATCAAAAACAGCTGCCAAAGTTAACACTGAACGGGAGCTGCCTGGACGCTGCAATCATGTTGCGCGCACTATCCGTGCTGAGTGTGCTGACTTTTCGTACAATGTCCCACTGTCTGGCTACCTGCATAAAGTCAAGTGCTCGGCGCAGTTGTGGCGAAATGTCGCTCCTCTGTTTTCATTTAAACAGCTCCTTAGATCCGTTAGGGCAGCTAGCTAGCACCAGATGCTAACAACAACAACAACAATACACGTAAGGTCTCTCTCTCGCTCGCTCGGGCCACACATACACACACCCTCCCGGTCCTCCCAATAGCCAGCCGGTGCCTGCCGGTGAGCGTGGAAGTGTGGTCTGCCACAAGCGCAGCAGGAGCGGGGCTGTCAGCTCAGCCTTGTAGATGGTATTTAACTCGATGTGCTCTGAAACTACGGGGCGGACCGAGGGACAAAAAAATACACATGCGTTAAATTGCGTTAAATAATTAGTGGGCGTTAATTTCTTTTTGCGTTACTTGACAGCCCTAATTTTAGATCCCTTTAGTTACTTCACAGATGTGGATGAATGATTGTGAAATATAATCAAGTCTTAAATTCAGACTTTAGTTCCTCCTGGAGTAAATCCACAAGCTACGCTGCAGTATACAAGTCATTCAACTAGCTGCTCCTTTACCAGCTTTGAGAACACTTTCCATGATCAATCATGTTATAGAAACATTCAGATATATTATTCGAAATGCGACCAATCTAACAATCACACTTCTATGTCGCTACTTTTTAACTATATTTGATACATACTCTTCTACTTTTAATTGAGGAACTTCTTGAATGCAGGACTTTTACTGTAAAAGTTATTCCTACACTCTGGGACTATTACTTTTACTCAGTACACGAGATCTGGTACTTATACTTTTACTCAAGTACAGACTGAGTACTTCTAATTTTACTTCAAGTACAAGATCTGTGTCTTCTACTTTTCTCAAGTACAATATATATATATTATACCACTCTCCTTTTTATAGCCTATGAAAAAACATGAAAAACCATTAGAAAGACGAAGGCTAAATCTAACGTTAGCAAGATTAAGTGACAATGTATGCTAGTTAAGCTAGCTCACGATTCATTTAAATATAATTGCACCAAGAAAACTTTCCTCAGTGCACATCACGCTCTGCGTCCGACAGGGAGCCTCTGCTCTGAACACCTGAACGGCCCGTTCTAACAGCTGTCACCAGCGGTCCAGTCTGTGCCACAGTGACTCCCGGCGCGCAGTTAATATTAACGACGCACCCGTAGGTAATGTAGCCTGCTGAAGGCTAGACCATACATGTCCGGAGCAGCAGAGCCTTATTATACCATGCGTGTCATGATGGCACATAACGGCTCACGGCCCGCACGATTACTCCGGGTCCCAGACCCCCCCCCCCATAAATAAATTTTTTATTGCAAACCAAAGAAATCACACAACTACCTATTCTGGGTTTAAAACGGGCGAATTCGCCAAAGCGATAACAGTTTTGCAACCCTGTATATATAACATTGGACCAACCTGTAGCCTACATGTACCAGCCCTAAAAACTAGATACATAATAGCTTCTGATATCATCACAGTCGTGTGGATCCGAAAGACTCACGTGGTTTCATTGATTGTGATGAGAACCCCGACAGACATGTAGACCTTTCGGTCTCTCGGAGGCCTGAAGACTTCTGTTCAACGCCACACTTCTCCGTGTCTCCGTCGCTGATGTCAACGATTCTCTCTGCCAGAATTCAATAAACCATTAAAGATCTTCCACTTTTGGAAAATCTGAACACATTATTCTTTCCACCCCAGAGAGACTGAGCCTCACCACCATTTTTCACTTATATCGTCTCAAAGACTTTTGAGGCCCTCGTTATTGGACCTGAATAACATTTTAAATCAATTTCAAGACCTGAAGATAACCAGTTTTCAGTTGAGGCCAGAACATTACTTGGCTAATAACTTCTCACAGGCAGATCAAGGTTCTTTGAATAAACAAGAAATTTAAATACAGTTACTATTGAATCTATTAGAGCCGAGTTGGGTAGAATGTAACCGACAACTTTTAACTGATGAGCAGATAGCGATATTCTTATTTTGTTATTTAAAGTGGCAATCATCGTACAGGTTAAATGAAATGTAACTCACCCATGTCATCCTCCCAGAATCAGCCTTGAAAGATGGTACACTTTATACTCCTGCCCATCTCATCCTTGCTCACACTTCCTGTCCTCAGCAGCTTCCCTCCACTGTGACCTCTGTTCCANGACACAGGGCCGGCAGGACCCCGGGCAGAAGAGTAGTCGGCGGGGTCTCCCCGACTACTCTTCTGCCGGGGGTCCTGCCAACCCTATGTCCTGTGCCGTTGGAGACCCCGCCGACTACTCTTCTGCCCGGGGTCCTGCCGGCCCTGTGTCCTGTGCCGTTGGAGGTCCCGCCAGTCCTATGTCCTGTGCCACTGGAGGCCCCGCCGACTACTCTTCTGCCGGGGGTCCTGCCAGCCCTATGTCCTGTCCCGTTGGAGACCCCGCCGACTACTCTTCTGCCGGGGGTCCTGCCGGCCCTGTGTCCTGTGCCGTTGGAGGTCGCGCCGACTGCTCTCCTGCCAGGGGTCCTGCCGGCCCTGTGTCCTGTCCCTTTGGGGGTCCTGCCGACTACTCTTCTACCGGGGGCCCTGCCAACCCCGTGTCCTGTTTTGTTGGAGGCCTCGACATCACCTGTATCGCCGGGGGTCCTGCAAACTCCTTGTCCTCTTCTGTGGAGAATCTTGCAAACACCCGTCCCACCGGCTCCGATTCCTGTGCTGTGGTCTTCGCCCCTCCTCGAACTCTGCCTTGCCCCCGGGCCGTCCGTCCGAGACCCCCTTTTTGAACTCTGCCTTGCCCCCTGGCCGTCCGCCCGAGTTCCCCTTTTTGAACTCTGCCTTGCCCCCGGGCCGTCCGCCCGAGTTCCCCTTTTTGAACTCTACCTTGCCCTCGGGAACGTCCCCCCGAGACCCCATCCATGGTCTCTGCCTTGCCCCCGGGCCGTCCGCCCGAGTTACCCTTTTTGAACTCTGCCTTGCCCCCGGGCCGTCCGCCCGAGACCCCCTTTTTGAACTCTGCCTTGCCCCCGGGCCGTCCGCCCGAGACCCGTCCTCCGGACCCCCTCCACCCACCCTGCTGGACTTTGTTTTTTGGGATGTCTGGGATCCGTCCCTTAAGGGGGGGGTTCTGTCACACCCCCAGGTTTATGTCACGGGTTTTAGTGTTGTCTGTCTAGGTTTGGGTGTTTGCGGTCATGTTTTTCCTCCTGGGTTATTGTCTGGTCCTTTTCCCTGTGTTTTTCATGTCTGTCGTTAGTTCCCTGGTGTGTCTAATTCCCTGATTTTTTTTCACCTGTCACTCCTCCTGTGTCTCCTGTGCTCATCAGTGTCAGCCCCGCCCCTGATTGTTCCCACCTGTGCCTTGTTACCCTGTGTTTAAATTCCCCTGTCTCCCAGTGTTCAGTGTCAGTTCGTCTTGTCTCTCGTCATGTTCAGGTCAATGCGTATCGTTTCTTGTCTATTGTCATGTTAGGTCGATGCTCTTGGAACTCTTTGATTTTTGATTCCTCACTGCGTGAGCGTTTTCATTTTAGCTGTTTTGGAAAATAAAGTATCCAACAAATACTTTACCTCTGTCTCCCGGGTCTTGCATTTGGGTCCTACATCTTAAGTGTCTGGGATCGTAACAGGAACAACTTGAAAAGTGATGTACACGGCTGGAACTGGAGCGCTTGGTGACTATCGGGGATTATACATTTGGCCGAGTCTGTTAAATTTTCTAAACGCTGCAGCACATTTCTCCTAATTGAAATGTATTGGGCCGTTGTAGCACATTTGCACCTGACGTCCACCAAACTTAAGAGTTAAAGAAACAGGTGTTTCAAAGTAATCCTAGAAAGCTGAAATGTGTATTGAAGTGGAATTAAACACATTGACTGTCTCTGAGTCCCACCTTGCCTATGTTTTGTGGAGTGATGAGCTGAGATGCTCCGTATGCTGATTTGTCGGGGAGATGACAGAGGAAGCTGGGCGTCCTGCTGTGGTTTCATTGGCTCAGTGCACTGATGTTTGTCAGAGCGGCTTGCATTACAACTTTTGACTAGTTTGGGCATCTTTAACATCAGATCCGCTGCTGTAATCTTAGTTTTTCAGTGACCGGAGAGAAACTGTTTTCATCGAGAAACTCACTAATAAACCGCGCTCGGGGCTCGGTGACAGCTCTCCTTGAAACTGACACAACTCTCGGTGCAAAGAGACGGGAACGCTAACTAATTAGAGATCCAACACAAATGTTTAATGAGGAGATTATATAACAGCGCACAGAATCCTGTAATAATAGTGCTACTTTGTCATTTGCCTTTTTTCTTCAGAGTTTCTCCTTTTATCCTTTCTAAAAAAAGGAAGACGTTTCTAAAGAATATTACGTTTTGTTCTTTTCACATGCGTTTCTCAACTGGCTTTCATGATGAAGTACCCTTCCCCTGGATTGTATTTAGTTTTAGAAGATTAATCAGTTTTAAGGCACATTAAGCACATTCACTCTGACTTAGTTTCAACTGATTTAATTTTTTTCATCTTCTTTGTTCTTTCTTATCACTATTCTGCCATTAAGCTACACAGACACCTTGTTTAAAAAAAATACAAACACACACTATCATTTCCTTCTAACTGAACAGAAGTTTCAGCTACTCTATATATTTGAGCTTTAACTTGCATTCCAACCAAATAAAACATATTTTACCATTTTGTTTAATTAAATAAAGGCACAAAAATACCATCCAGTTGGATTATTTTATGATATATTATATTATATTATCCCGTAATGTTGAGATCCATTTTTCTTCTTTTTTGAATCTTTTCTTTTTTACATGACTTGTACATGAGATCACTTTAATTGAACAAAAATGGTAAACTGGTAATTATTGATCCTTTATTGTCCTCTTCACATTTTTTTAATCTCTTTTGAAGGGGCTCTATTATGCTCATTTTCAGGTTAATATTTTAGCCTTTGCAGACCATTTACATGCATAAAAACATATATAATACACTTCAGATAAGGGGAAACCCCCCCAAAAAATAGGTCCTCTTCAAGCCGGTCTAGAATAAACATTTATACCTAGTTCTACATTCAATATTTCACAATCTTCCCGTAAATGGACATTTCAAAACCACACATCTTTGCACCTTGTAAACTCACTATCAAATGATTGGTTTGTATCAGTAACTTTAATTTCAGAGATTCATCCTCATCTTTTCCTTCCCTCGCCAAATTATTGCAATTGATATTTAGTCTTATTGCCTTCTTTTTTAAATGTTGCTGCTATAACTCATCCTCTGGCCCAGAATGCAATCAATATTCAAACGAGGTAGCTGATTTCTGCTAACTGAATACCTTATGCCAGCGCCTGAAGTTATAGTGATGGTAATAGCACTGTCAAGTTTGACAATGTGGAGAAAGCAATACTGTCATTCCCCATATTCACTTTTGAAAATCTAATTTTGCTTTCATCTCTTCGCTAACACAGAGCTGTCAACATGCTTGAACATTTTCTTGAACATTTTCTTAATCTCTTTTTTCCAACGGTGCTCTCACCATACAGCTCGACTTTACTTACATTGTGTTTAAATCACGTTACGCCACTTTGGTTGTGATTGTAGTTAATTATTATGCGGAACAGCTTCCCACCTTTTGTATTATATACACTGAATTTCGCTTAATGTCTTTTATTGTGGGGGACCTTTGATCTGAAAGTGATTTGTTGATGTGTACAGTAATGCCTCGGCACAATGGCCGCCTTTATTCAAACTGTTAGATGAAATGGGCTGTCAGAGTGGAGGAAATTGAAACCAGTCAATATTTCAGGCATTAGAACCAAACACAGTCAAACCACAAAAGATAAACACACACATAGACCTCATCATTATACACACATATAGTATATACTCTGCCCTTTCTCAACCTTACAGAGTGAAATGCACTTCGAGAGGGGGAAGCCATTAAAAAGTGTGCTTCAACCAAAGGTCATCCATTTGAATTCAAGCAAAAATCCCTGCATCCCCTTAAAGGATGAGGCGGCCTGTATTTGCATTCTCACTATTGCCAATAAATTGCATAAAAGGACTGAAAAAAACAACATTTATATACAAAGGCTAATATGTATGTTTCCTCTGAATAGCACCACATTGTTGTCCGTAAATTATTAAAAACAAATAACTGAGGAACACTGTTGAAAATAGTCCTCAACAAATCTCCTAACATTTAATAAATCTTCAGTGACCAACGGATTTAGGAAATGAAAGTACATTTCTGTAAGCTGCTTTTTTTTTGTTTAAAGGAAGGGAAGAAGAGTATCGAGCCACGTTGGAAAAACATCTTTGGTGCAACATGAAAAGGCACAATCTGGAATGTTAGTAACTTCACAGGGCTGTTGGAAAGTAGGCTACTGGTTTGAGATTCAGAGCAGATCTCTCTCAAAGTTGTAGTGTGGGATGTGGATTAAATGTGTCGACGTGACTTTTTTTGCCATATTATTTAATCAATTATTTAACTACCTTACATTTTCTAACATTCCTAATGTTAGCGTTGGCCTACACTTTCTAGTATATTTCCATTGGTTTATCTACAGTCTATCACGTCTCATTATAATCATCTCTTACATTATCATCTTTACTGATAAGCAAGAGGCCCTTCCGTTCTTTTTTTTTTAGCTCACATTTTCTTTTTTTATCTCACATAAATTAGATTATATGTGACCTGCTCTATCGAAATCAGTCGTATTGACCCGCAGACATATTTTGAGTTGTATACACTGCTGGAAAGAGGATATTCCTAGCTTTCTAATGATATCAGGATTGTTTTTGTACTCCAGATATTAAGCAACATATGTCACATTATATAATGACTGTCACCGAGTCATCATTTTGAGAAAAAGGCCTTCAAAGTGTCCTCTTCTCTGGAATCCATCGATCTGATTGATTATTAGCGGAGCAAATGATCAAAGTAGTACGGAGGGGAAATATTTTCGTTTGGATTACTGGTCTGGGGGAAGCTCGCAAGTGTGTGTGTGTGTGTGTGTGTGTGTGTGTGTGTGTGTGTGTGTGTGTGTGTGTGTGTGTGTGCGTGTGTGTGTGTGTGTGTGTGTAGTTGTTTGACAGGGAGCTGTGTGTG